GGAGGGGAGGACTCCTGGATGGGGGCTCATGGCTGGGGGGGAGTGCTCGTGGCTGGGGGTCCTGGCTGGGGGGAGGGCTCCTGGCTGCTCCAGAAGCCACCTCTGCAAACTCAGGCAAATCCATGCAGATGGTGGACAGATGGGGTTTGCTAAGACCAGGTCACTTTGATGTTCTCCTTGCGGGTGGGGTTGGCACCTGCAGCACCAGCGCGATCGTCAGCACCACACAGGCTGAGAAACAGGTGGAGAAGCCCAGCAGGAGCAACAGCCGCCGTCCCCAGAGCTCCACGACAAACACCTGGAGGAGGGAGATGGGGGGACTCAGAGGCCAAGTGCCCCATGGGAAAGCTCTCCTTGCCCCTCACAGCCCCTTCCAAGGGGCCCCAGGGCTGTGTGCCCACATGTACGCACGCAGCTGCATGCTTGTGCCCACAGCTCATGCCCAGGAGTGGACCGTGGGGGCCTGGCCATTGTCCCCGGACCCTGGTCCCTGGGGTAGACTTGTGACCCTGGGACACGTTTGAAACCTGAGCCCTCTATGACCCTAGAGAGCTGGATCTGGGGGTGCAGCTGAGAGCATGCATGGAGGCCGGGGTCCCACCCTGGTAGCTGAGGCCCAACTGGGGTACCGCTCTGGCACGGAGCCATGGGCAACAGACTCACGCAGGACCACAGGTGCCCTGCCAAGGAAGGGACCCCCCATTCCAATCAGGCTCAGTGGCCCTAGACCTAAAGGACAGGACCAGAGCCCCTCTCATGTGGGAGTGTCTGGAGTGGGGTGGGCCTCCAGGGTGGGGCCCCAGGGCTTGTCCCCACGGAGGCTGGCTGTCTTTCAGCTGCTCAGGCCGCGTCCCTCCTCCATGGGGACCTTCCCACAGTGCCGCGGTCCCTCCTGCCCGGGGCCCTGTCACTCACAGTGACGATGGTCATGACCACGTTGACGGCGCCCGTGCCGGCCGTCACGTACTGCACGTCGCTGCTGGCCACGCCGGCGCTCAGGTAGATCTGGTCTGCGTAGTAGTAGATCTGGAAGGTAAGGCAGATGCCGGGCTGGGGCGGGGGGCAGCTCCAGGACAGCCCCCCAGCCCGTGGGCCGCCCCGTTACCGCGTTCACTCCGGACAGCTGCTGGCCGCCCATGAGGACGATGACGGAGATGAGCTGCCAGCGCCAGTGGCGCAGGCGGAACAGCTTCCACGGGGACACGGAGCCCTCGGCCCGCTCCGCCTCGTCCTCCCGCGCGATCTCCTTCATCTCCG